CATGACATTATGACACCGTCGCCCAGTCGCGATCCGCACTCTTATTCGGCCGGAGAAGTTGTAAAAAAAATGCAGCCAAATCAAATCCTATTAATTTCAGTAACCTGTCGTAAACCGAAGATTCATATATTTTGTTATAGTATGGATTCAATGACCCAAACTTCGAACTGTCAACTATCATAATACCGAGTGTCATATTTGGGTTAAACAGGTATTGTCATATGCAGATTAGCCCGGGGGCAATAACGTCATTTCCTACAAAAACAAGTATCAATTTATTGGTGTAAGTGAAGCCCACAATAAATTATTTTTTGCTTACTTTCATTGTTGAGGTGTCTTGCCATTGTTTTCATCGTACTGGGAGAGTTTACCTTCAGGTTATACTAGCTTGGACGCAGTACCATTTATTGTACGTGTATGAACGTTATATTTTGCGCGCGTGCAACATTATACATTTTACCCCACCCTCTTGACTCATCCGACACACGGCAACACCGCAAGAATTATACAAACGTTGAATCAGGTGGATTTGCCAGGTATTGGTACACAGCTGAAATTAACTGTTTGGAAGTATACGAATTCAGCCCGTTTTCAAAATAAATATATATGACTCGTGTTTTATCAGATAGCGTTCAAGCGCCGGGGTTGTCTAGGACTTATTTTACCATTCAGCTCACATCTCTATCAACAAAGATGGCGTCCGCGTGTCTTAGACAGAGTGGAATCAGCGACCCTTGCCTAATGTGAGATGTATTCACCTATACTAGTCCTCCCACTCATCACTTAACACCATTATCTAGTCTACCAGTTTCGTGACCATTTTTTAAAAAGCGCCAAACTATGCGCTTTGCTGGCTAATATCGAGAAGATGATTTGACAATTTGACCCATAAATTGTGCCAGGGTAAGGAAGTTTTATCTGGTGCACACGCCCGGCACCCGACACTCGCGATTAGACGGACCTTGAATCTAGGTCAACGAGTCGTTAAGCAGATAAAGAAGGCATATACAAGTTTGACTTTTTGGAACGGAGATGCGCTGCACTGAGAACGCTGCAGCATTACTACTAGGTCCAGTCAATAGGACAGATATGTATTTAAATATCCGTTCTGCTCACTAAGCAGCAGAATTTCCACAATTGATAGATTGTGAGCGCCCTATTGTTGAATGGCACACCTTGTGCGACCTGAACGACCTCACCACATCCCCCGAACATCGTGGAACACATATGTCCATACGCGAAGCTTGGAGCTGGAGCACATTGCCTTCAGATGTCTAGACAAAGACTTACAGACTTGTTTGATACTCGCCAATAATAGATTAAAATGGAGGCGGAATTATAACCGGTATATTAATATACTGGTGCATGCGCCCGTTTCAAAGACCACACGCAGCACTATGGTCTGATTAAATCATTCCGTATTATTCCACATTCCCGAGAACAGCACAGTAGAGTATATTCTCAAAAGTGAAAACAAAATGCTATATATCTCTCGAACGCCAACCTCGCTAGTTGTGAACTTGTATTGGTTCGACAACAAACTATGATGTTTTCGTCTTCAGTATATCATAGTTTATTGGGCCATAACCATCCTCAGAGGCAGAATACATAATCTATAATATGTAAATAATGCAAAAGCATCAACAACGTGTGTCCCATCATGTTCAAATAAAACCACTGGCACAGAACGTGCTGATAACAATAACATCGGTAACAAGCCATTGACAAAACGTGTCCTGTTTACAGACCTCTGGAATTCAATGTGTGCCATTGGTATGATATACTCATGTCGTTTTATTCGGAAGAAATCTAGGCATTCCAACTAATCAAATCAAACGTACTGAATCATTCATATATAAAATGCATGATGCTGCATTTTCTACATTAGCTTGTGAGGCACCAGTGTTCGACGGTCAATATAATGTCTTATCTACCTTTGCATGTGACGCACCAGTGTTGGACGGTCAATATGATATACTATCTACCTTTGCGTGTGACGCATCAGTGTTAGACGGTCAATATGTTGTGTTATCTACCTTTGCGTGTGACGCATCAGTGTTAGACGGTCAATATAACGTCTTATCTACCTTTGCGTGTGACGCATCAGTGTTAGACGGTCAATATGATGTGTTATCTACCTTTTCTTGTGACGCATCAGTGTTAGACGGTCAATATGATGAACTATCTACCTGTGCGTGTGACGCATCAGTGTTAGACGGTCAATATGATGTGTTATCTACCTTTGCTTGTGACGCACCAGTGTTAGACGGTCAATATAATGTCTTATCTACCTTTGCGTGTGACGCATCAGTTTTAGACGGTCAATATGATGTGTTATCTACTTTTTCTTGTGACGCATCGATGTTAGACGGTCAATATGATGTACTATCTACCTGTGCGTGTGACGCATCAGTGTTAGACGGTCAATATGATGTGTTATCTACCTTTGCTTGTGACGCACCAGTGTTAGACGGTCAATATGATGTACTATCTACCTGTACATGCGGCGCATCAGTGTTAGACGGTCAATATGATGTGTTATCTTCCTTTGCGCGTGACGCATCGATGTTAGACGGTCAATATGATGTACTATCTACCTTTGCCTGTGGCGCATCAGTGTTAGACGGTCAATGTGATGTGTTATCTACCTTTGCTTGTGAGGCATTAGTGTTGGACGGTCAATATGATGTGTTATCTCCCTTTGCGCGTGACGCATCGATGTTAGACGGTCAATATGATGTACTATCTACCTTTGCGTGTGACGCATCAGTGTTAGACGGTCAATGTGATTTTGTTCTTTGCTTTCACTTGTGACGCACCAGTGTTGGACGGTCAATATGATGTGTTATCTCCCTTTGCGCGTGACGCATCGATGTTAGACGGTCAATATGATGTACTATCTACCTTTGCGTGTGACACATCAGTGTTAGACGGTCAATATCATTTGATATCTACCTTTGCATGTGACGCATCAGTGTTAGACGGTCAATGTGACTTTGTTCTTTGCTTTTACTTGTGACGCATCAGTGTTGGACGGTCAATATGATGTGCTTTCTACATTTGCATATGACGCATCAGTGTTAGACGGTCAATGTGATGTGCTTTCTACATTTGCATGTGACGCATTAGTGTTAGCCGGTCAATGTGACTTTGTTCTTTGCTTTCACTTGTGACGCACCAGTGTTGGACGGTCAATATGATGTGCTATCTACCTTTGCTTGTAACGCAGTAGTGTTAAACGGTCAATGTGACTGTACCTTCTACCTTTTCATGTATATCATTTGGTGGACGTGGGACATGTAGAACTGTTGTTAGCACGCACAATCCCCATGCCAATGCGATATAATAACCGGGGTTATACTGAGAATAGCCAGTGCACCTGACATATCTTCCATTCTATCTCTTTCTTACAATCATTGGTTTACCTGAACTTTGACTCTGATGCCATTGACGTTGACCTGCATGGAAGGTTGGACTAATTAATGAAGACATCAAAACGCAATACGTCAACACATTAGGGAGACACACCTCCCAGTGCAAATCCCGTGTTCTAATAACTCGGGTGAAGGCCATGTAGTAGTATCGAGGTTTAAGCACTGAGCCTTCATAACAACTGTATCACAGACAACGGCACGTACAAAAGAGCTCTAACAATTACCCCTAACACAAGCACACAGTAGGGTGTAAGTAAAGCTCAAACAGTGGACTTGTGAGTCCCAACAACTAATACTATACATGAAGTTGGTGGGGAAGGCATTTCTAATGTCTTAACAAGAATGTCCCAATGGCAATCAGAGTTTTTTTCTCAGTAACCAATTACGAAAGTTTTCTTAAAGTTCCCATTCCAAGTTGCCAAGATGAAATCGACGTCTCGCTTAGATGTTGTTTATATTTGTATAATACACATAGTTCATTAGCTAGCCATCGAATTGGGCCGTGTTCGTTTCTCAACTGTCAAGTCAACAGTGTGATATATAAATAGGTTTCGTCAAAGACCGGCTATGGTGATGTCATTGGGTGGTACTCGGGGAGTTCTCAATCGTCGGGTTGTTGGGGGAAAACGGTGTACAGCGCAATGACCCATACAGAATGCTTAATTACACTCGTTTTCTCATAGAGAACTTGACATTAGTCTTTCTCATTGGAACAACGTGTCTTTTTTTAAAGAAACCAGTATTGCAAATGTGGGAAGAACCGAAGCTGCCTTTCAGCCTCTCCAATTACAAAGGCTGTAGGTGCCCTTTGAACGGTAAAACGAATGTCTGCTATTGTGCTGCGCGGTTCGTGAATCGAACAAGGAGATTTTGAAAGATCGCTTTTGGCAAAAACTCCGTCGATGCCTTGCAGCAAAGTTCTCCACGCTTCAAGGCTTTTGTATAGAAAACATCTATTCCATTAGGTAAAGACATAGAGATTGTACACAGATAAAGGGTGCAGTGTGCCTGTCGGCAACGATTCCCAGTTGTCTGCGTACTTGCTGTGTAACTGCCGGGTTCATCGTGTCACCTCGGGCGCAGAACCAGTAGGCAGCAGCAACATAGTGGCTGGTGCGTGTTTGTCTTAACTGAAGGGGTGGGCCAATCAAATTCGTGAATATCGTTTGCCTCTTCTTCATACACTGTGGGATAAATATATATTTAAAACACCCTAGAAATGAAAAGTTTATTTCGAATTCGCTTTCCGTAGTTATTACTATTTTAGGGACTAATGGCCTTCAGAAACGATTGCCGCTTTTTTTAAAGAGTTCTATTCATCCGTTTGGCCCTCCAAAAGCCAGAAAGGCTATTTGACATTGTTTACGTGAAAGACAGGTTTCTATCTTACACACTGAAAGGACGTGAACATTGGCCAAATTGGCATCACGGGCGCACAACAATGACTCTTATCGGCCAGTTGTTCACGATGTCTCACCTCGGATAAATCTACGGCTTGACGGGAAAGTTACAATTCACATGGGTCACCGGCTCACTGTTCCTTGGCATCCCAAATATACTCGAGAAATAACATCGTTGTTATGACTACGCCGTATCAATGACAACAGCTTTGCTAATAACGCGCCGGTAATAATAGCGTTATATAGCTACAAGGTAATGGGAATGCTAGTTTTTTTGTTATCTTTTGGAGACGGAAATTCTACCAAGCAACAGCTACTGCACTGTATGATACATTGAGGGCGCATTAGTTTGAGCTAATGAAGAGTTACCTGTCAGAATAGCTTAGTCAGATAATTGGTACACGCTGGTAGATCTATCACCCTTTTGCGACATTGCCCACATGAGCAAGAGATGTTAGTAACGCCCTATTAAGTTCGTGGTCGTCCCCGATGATCCTAACTTCCCAAGGACAGGCACAGTGATCGAAACAAAGGTCAGGTGGTTGAAAAGAATAGCTCGTCATCGTTGCGATCTAATACATGCACGATTGGTACTTCCTGATGTCAATCTTATGGGGTAAAGGCGACCCCTAACACCGTTTTAATATTTATAAATACTATAGCGTCAAATTACACGTAAATCGCACCATCTTCCCGAAAAATAGTAATGTTTCGTATATTCTTGTACCATATGATGACCCTATGACACAAAATAAATAAATAAATAAATAAATAAATAAATAAATAAAT